CAGAGACCGTCCCTCTGCAGACTCTGCAATGCTACAATGACTACACCAGCCGCATCATCTGCAGCTGGGCCGACATGGAGGACGCCCAGGGCCTCCTGAACATGACCCTCTATCGCAAGCTAGAAAAGTGAGTACCACTGAGTCCACTGGGATTACAACACAAGGACCATGCTCCACCAACCCCCAACACCCCGGCATCACCAATGATGTGCAGCCACCATCCCTGGTCACCTTGACTCTGTGCTGCACTGCCCCCCAGCCCCTGCAGTGGCCGCAGCTGTCTCCTGCCTGAGCATCCTGTCCCTACTCATCTGCTCCTTACACAGCCTCCTCTCAAGAGCTCACACTCCCTCACGTCTTCCCAGGATTTCTTGCCTGGATGCACTCCCCCAGGATTTGGCTGTCTCCAAGGAAACCAAACTGCACCTGTCACTCAGAAACACCCCATACAAATGGCCCAGCCTGGGTCCTCATCTACCAACCCACCCAGGATGACCTCCTTGTAGTTCACCTTCACGTGACTCCCAGCTTCCACACCAAGGTCCTTTGGTGTCTCTGACAGCTCCTTCTGGTCTTTGCTTCTCTTTTCTCCTCTGTCCACTGCAGAGTGTGAGATCTCTAAATACGGCCCTGGCTTCCTATCTATATGCAGTCTTTGGAGAGCCCACCATGGGCCATGAGCAGAGATGCTCAGATGAGGATATCCATTTCTAGTCCAACACCATAAGCCAAATTCTGCCCTTGACTCCAACTCCACGCCTCTCTTTGTTAACTGGGAAGGGTGGTAGCTTGACTCATGACCGGGAGGGCTGGTTGAAAATGGCTTCTCCCTCCTTTCCTGCCTCTCAGTGAACACTACTACGTTTGTCCCCCAGCGAGATGCAGTCTGAGTAATGCAGACACCATCACCATCCAAACTACTTACAATCACCAGGACGGCACCATCTCCCCACTCCATCACCCCAAGTCTTTCCTCAGCCCCTTACTCAGTGAAATCCTTTGAATCCTGCACCAAAACAAGTCCCCCCTTTCCTTCACTTATGTCCCGACATGCTTGTTATCAACACACACACAATGAAAGCCTCGTTCCTTGTGACAGGACTCAGGACTGTTTTGCTTGTGGCAGGAAAGCCAACACTCAGGGACAAGTGGTTAGCCAGGGAAAGACTGATTGCCAAGTGTACAAACCGAACAAGATTCCAGGGACAGAGTTGGCAGAGACCACTGTGCGTTGATGTCAAAGTGTAGAACTTCTGTAGGGACTTGGGGAGAGGGTCCCTTTGGTCTCAGGTGGGCTTTGAGGCAGTTACCAAGTGGTCATGAGTGTCAGTGTGATCGGGTTTCAGACACACAAGCTCCGTTTACATGAAGGTCATTGGGTCAAGGATGTCCTGGGCACTGCACATCTAGAGAGATATTATTTGTTAATATGTAATGTTGTTGGTTTTTTTTGTTGTTTTTTTTTTTTGTTGTTTTGTTTTTGTCTTTGTAATCAGGCTCCGAGGCAACAGGGAGGACCTTTCTCTGAAGGTCTGAACCCCTAAGAGCAGTGCAGAAGCATGCTTATTGATTGTTACACAAACGTTATTTATGGTTAAAACAAGCCCTCATACCAAAGCCCCAATCTAATCTATGTTTCATGAAAGAAAACATCACTCCCCTGCAGTTTTAGTCCTAATGTG